TCTTCCAAGTGACGGAGGGTGGCTTCCACATGCGGGTTCTGGTCGTTGAGGCGCTCCAGAATGACAGTGTCGGCTCCCTTGCAGTAAACGCGAATCTTTCCATCGGGGCACCGGTAAATCGTCGACATGCGCTTTCGGGTTGAGTTGAATTCACAGACCGCCAACAGCTCGTATTCCATTTCCCGTCCATGCGCTTCGATAAAGACTGATCTCGGCTTGCGATCCGTGAAGACGTAGCCAAGCTCTGCCGCGCCCTCGACCAGGGCGCCCTCATCGGGAGAAGCTGCCTGGTACTTGATCTTGCCGCCCTTTTCGTCGCTTCGCTCGGGAATAACCGTGTGGCAGGTAGCCAGCAGAGACAAGAAGTGGTCAATGACGGGGGCGGTTTCGTGGCTCTTGAGGTTCTCGGCCAACCGCTTGTAGTCGTGGATGCCTACTTCAACACCATCCTGGATCGTAGCCCTGAGGTCTTCCGGCACATCCTCTGCGTACTGAATTCCGCCGATTGAAGCCTGCTTGAACTCCATCATGTTGCAGGTAAGGGTACCGGTCTTGTCGGAGAAGACATACTCAACCATGCCAAGTTCCTCCACCAAGCTGGATGTTCTGCAGTTTGCCGGGGTGTCCGTCTTGTCGTAGTAGATATCCAGGTCGTCGTTGATAAGAATGCCATGCCAGTACTTGACCATCTCCAAAGTGACGAAAAGCGAGATGGGCACCAGAGAGGAGAACAAGACCCAGTATGTGACCATGTCCTTAAAGAAGGTCTTGATGATGTCGCTCGCGGAACCTGTGGAGTCGAGCTGCAAGTAGGACAGGGCCTGTCCCTCAACCTTGCGCTGGACGAGATCGCCCACTGTGCAAATAACACTGAGGACGAGGAGGATGCCGACCAGGACCAAGACCAAGATGTTCAGCTTCTTCTCTACCTTTGTGCGCTTGATGGGTGCCGCTGTGGCGTTGCGCATGAGCTTTGTCTCGTGGCCAGTGAAGACAACGACACCGTGAATCCAGGGAGTGTTTCGCAGAGTGGCACCACGGAGGAGGAGCTGCTCGGGGTTCAAAGGCAGCTCTTTTTCTCCGCCGCCAGCCTGCATTGTCAAAGTAGCCTCATATGTGTACAAGCTGCTGTTGGGCTGCTCAGACTTGATGCGGCCGCCAAGCCTGCTCAGCTCGCTGGAGCTGACCATGGCACATGTCTCCGGGAGAGCTTGCTTGATCTTCAGGTTGGTCTCTCCGTCGAGGTTGGCTGTTTCGATATAACACAAGCCCTCCGGTTCGGAACTCGCAAGGAGAACAAGATCGGCGGGGAACGGCTCCTCGGATTCTACACGGATGATATCTCCCACTGAAACGTTGATCCACTTGGTCTCCTGGAAGCCGGTGCCGCGCAAGATGCGCGCCTTGGACGTGTTCAGCGCATTGTCAGCCTGTTTGCGACGGTAGTCCTCCACCAATTCCTTGCCCGCAGAGACCAGCATAACAATGAAGAGAGGGATAATCGTCGTATATCGGTTGGTAGGCGAGAGGTTGGGGATCTGCTGCAGCGCAGCCGTGAACAGGAAGAAAATGTTGGCGAACTTGGAGAACTGCTCGAAGAGGAACTTGGGGAGGAAGCTTGCGACATTGTATTTCGCCGTCGAGATGTGGTTGTCGACATACTTGTTCGCGGCGTTCGCAGGCGGGTTGTTGAGGTGGATGATTCTGGGGCCCAGAGTCGAGGGGTCCGGCTTGCTGCGACCGAAGCCAAACTTGAAGTTGCCCATGTCGAACTTCTTGCCCTGCTTGGCCTGTTGATCCGCGCCGGCAGCTCGTCCCTGGCCAGCCTCTGTTAAAGGAAGATCCATCTCCGAGTATCCTTGGCCCATGCCCAGTCTATTCTTCATGCGGCCAAAGAAGCCACCGCCCAGGCTGAGAACGCTGTTACGGTTCCGGGCGTTGGCCCTGCCGGAGGGATCCGCGACATTGTTCTGGCTCGTGGTAGCTCCTCCCTGTTGGTAGTAAGAATCGTGCTCGGTCGGGTAGTCGTCGAAGTCGTCGGCGTATCGCTGATAATTGTTCAATTCTGAAGTTTGGCTGTAATGCCTCTGCATGTAGGGAGTGCCGGAAGCAGCGCCGCCACCGACGCCGGGGGACGAGGGGCCGGCGGCTTGCGGTCTCAATGTCGAAGGTTGTTGCGCATTGTGTCCAGCTCCTCCAGCTCCTCCGCCACCAACAAAGTCGTCGTAGGATACGGAAGGGCGACCCTGAGCCTGGTCCTGCTCGTGGGCGTAGGATCGCAACAGGTCGTCATCGTTCATCGCGGATCGCTGTCCTCCACCGTAGACGGGTTGGTCGTTCTCCAGATCTAGTAACAGATCGTTGTTGGAAGGTCCTCCAGGAGGGCCTCCCGTCGGTCGTCCAGCCATGCGGGGGAGACTGGTTGTGTTGCTGTTGCTGGGCGATCAAGATGTGAAGGTGTCGGAATGTCCAGCATGCGAGGTCGGGGGGTTGGTGGATTAAGGTCGTGTTTCCGGACACATGAAGGAAGGAGCGATGGGAATCGAAAAAGGGCGAAAGGCGGCAAGCGCGGAGCGTTTTCGGCAGGCTACCTTTGGTCGGTCGACAGGTCAATGGAATTCGTAACCGCGGCGGCAGCGGGCGAGAGAGACGACGAGGCGACGACGACGACGGCAGTGAGACTGATCAGCGTGAGAATGGGCGCCGCAGCTGGGCAATGGCGGTAGTAGCTGCTGGCGGGAAAAAAGAGTGGCCCAGCAATCCGTAGTTGTTGCAGCACAGCCTCCTTCTGGCGCAGGATTAGGATTACACAGTGGTCGGGTTCGCGCTACGTCAACGGGCGGAGGGTGCTGGACGGAGGCGACGTAGACGCAAGTCGACGTAGGCTGAGCCTGGAATGGTCGGACAAGAGTGCCGTAGTACTGCAAAGTACCAGAATGCAAAGCAACGCAGTCGCTATGGGTGGTGTATGATGTATGTTGGTTGTGTGTATGTATTGGCAGTCGGAAACAAGAGGGGATGTCTTTTGAGACCGGGAGGCCAGGAATTGAGGTGATGCGAGGAGTCTCGTCTGGCGGGAGAAGAGATGGGATCTGCGGATGGTCGTGTTTGAGGTGCTGGGTGCTTTGCTTGAACAGGCGGCGCCAGGGAGCGACGGACGGGACGAGACGAGACGACCTGGGAGAAGCACAGCAGTGCAGCGGTGCAGGCAGGCAAGCAGGCAGGGCAACAAGGTGTAGGTGGTGCTGCGGGTGCGGGTGTAATGGGTGGATGGATGGATGGTGCTGCGCAGGTGGCAGTAACTGATGAGGCTGGTTGGGGCAATGGTCAATTGGGGGGACGCTGAGGAGGAGGAGGAGGGTGGAGGAGACCCAGGAGGGGAGGGGCGCCTTGGTTGGTTGGAGAAGCTGAAGGGGTCCAGTCTCATCCGTCTGAGGTGGTCCCGGTCCAGTGTCTGGCCTGGCCCTGGGCTGGTCGCAGCTGGCAGTGCGTCTGTCTCCCCGGTAAAGGTTCTGTTTTGCGGCGCTGTTTTGCAGTGCTTCCACCTCTTTTGCGCTCTTACCAGCCAACCAGCCAGGCACTCTCACTCACGCACAACACAACACAAACCTGCGAACAACCTGGAGCCCGGGCATGATTTGGCCCTTGGGGGTGCCAGCTCCACCGATAGGGGCACGTGGGGCATGTTACTATTCGTGGGCCGTTTAGTGGCCGCTCCCATGGGCTTCAGACCTCCAACTCCCCGGCTTAGACGCACGACTGGCTGCAGTCGACCTCCACGACAATCGTCTTCTCTCGTACCGGATGGGACGAGCTGACGGGCCAAGACGATGGGGTCTGCCAGTCCGGTGTCCTTCAGCCACGATACCTACGACGGCAGGGCTGACTATGTACTTCATGCCGGACACTGGACGATGGCAGGACCTCAGGAATGCATCTCTCCGTCTTGCGTGCTTTCTCCCTCCATCGTCACTCGACTCTGGGGAACATGAGGTGACGGACCTGCGGAATCTCGGAGCTGTCAGACCGTCCGTCAGTCAGCCACTGAGATTGACGCAAGCGAGCCAACAGCACGGCAGCACTTTAGTCTGTTCCCTTGGGGTTATCAACGGTCATTGCTCGAGCAATTGTGCCGTCGCTCAGACAGTGACCCCCCAACTGCCAACGCTTAACCGACAACGCCGGCCCTGGAGCCAGGCGAGAGGAAACAAAACAAGACGAGGCGAAAGGTCCCAGGCCAGGTTGCCAGAGCCAGGCCCCCCTTCCAGCCCGTAAGATAAAGGTCACCAGGGAAAGGAATTAAGCATCTCCCGCAGAACCAGAGAAAAAATTTCCCTCGTCCACTCGCCCCGACCGATCTGTGATTACGTGTGGATACGATATCTCGCTCGTCCGAATTGACCAGACGAAATTTGGCTCGGCCATCTTGGAGAGTTGGAAACCATACCAAGCATTGTCCTGCGCAAACGTCCATTGCCCCTGACTTGGCCTGCCACCGTGGCCCCCGTTGGCTGGCGAGGTGGACGTATCGCTGAAGAAAGCTGATGAGCAGATCCAGTTTCAATTCCAGACTGGCTGGGGACCCCGTGAAAAGTCAGCGAAAGAGAGAAAACATTCAGAGGGCCCCTATTGTGGCTACCTGCGCTAATCCACGATCCCGACAGGTGTCGTTTGCGAATCCCAGCTTCGGTAGGGCGCTAGCTCCGCCCTCTGGTCTGGTCCCGGCCCACCTTCTGCACCAAAGATTTCAGCAGAACACGGCGCCGCTCTGCGCTCTAAACGCGGAAGCCTGTGATGTTGCGTCACTTCGCAGTTGAGCTTTCCAGCCACCCAAGCCACGTCTTAGGTAATATGTCCCGCTAGTGGCGCTACCTTTGTCAACCGTTATCTTATCGATAGTCGGTTCCTCGGGTCATCGTCTTCACTATCACGACTGTCACCAACCATCCCTCACTCCCATCCCAACGTTCATCTCCAGCTACCAATCCATCAACCACGCCATGGTCTGCGCAAAGTGCCAGAAGCTCGGCAAGGGCGGTACAACCCTCGCGACGCCCTCCGTCAAGAAGAAGAGCGAAATCTACCACGGCTCCGCCACATCCTCCGCGTCCTCCTCGAAAGCGACCCTGGGCAGCACCGGCATCGGCAAGAGCAAGCTGCTCTCCAAGGCCGCCAAGAACCCCTACGCCCAGTACTCGAGCGCGTGCTCCAAGTGCAAGACAAAGGTCTCGCAGGGCCACGCCCTCTGCCAGTCGTGCGCCTACCGCGCCGACTCCTGCGCCTCGTGCGGCAAGCCCAACAAGAAGAAGACCGCCGCGCCTGCTGTTGCGGGGCAGAAGTTTACGTTGAAGTGAAGGACATCAGGGCATTCAGATAACATGATAGAAGAGGACGTTGCGCCGATGTCGATGAGGATTACCGTACACTTCCGGCCGATACACATACAACGGTATACCAGGTGGTCCGGAATAGCTGCGCGCAAGCGGTGCATCACAACTGGATCAGAATCCGCCCGGAAACAAGTAAACGCCGATTCGATCAAGCAAGAGACGACGGACGCGGGTGCACGGCTGATAAGGGATATGCGTGGATAGCTTGGCCCGTTGAAGCTGAGGTTGGTCAAACCAGTCGAAGGTCACGTCGCACCGCATAATCGCAACAGGATAACCATTCGTACGTGCAAGCACAGATATGCCATATAGGCAAACATCACAAGCATAGAGAAAGCCAGCAGTGCTTGACAAAAATTATCATATTCATCGTTGCTAGTCATCCCCGACTACAAAATTACTCCTGCCTTTTTGCCCATATCGTTAATGCCATGCTCTTCCAATCCATTAAATCAAATCAAAACTCACAAGTTCGCCGTCGGCTTGTTGACCTTGGTATCCAGCCACTCCTTGATCTGCTTGTTCACCTCCTCCGGCGCCTCCCACAGCGCCCAGTGCGTCGCCGTCACCTCGCCCCTCGTCAGGTCCACAAAGTGCTGGTCCATACCCGCCGCCATCGACGCCGGCAGCGCCGCGTCCTTGTTCGCAAGGATGAACAGACTCGCGGGCTGGATCTTGATCGCGGCCCCCTCCTTCTCCGCCTTCTCCGCCAGCGGCAGCTCCTCCTCGTAGTTGATCTTGCGCGTGCGGTACCAGTTGAGCGGCCCGCGGAGCCCGCTGTGCGAGAACTGCTCGGCGTAGTAGGCGATCTCGTCCTCGCTCAGCAACGGCGTGGGGCCCATCTTGCCGAGGTTCTCGAACACGACGCCCTGCTCCGTCGTGAAGACGAGCTCGCCGTTGGGGCCGCGGCCGCCGTAGATGCCCTGCAGGAACTGGCGGATGTCCTCGGGCGTCTTGACCTTGGCCTCGACGTCCGCGCCGCGCAGCTGCAGCTGGTACTTGAAGTTGTGGAACTTGCCCGCGGCGATGAGGTCGGCGAGGTCGAACCAGTACGTCGTGGGCGAGTTGTACGGCGTGCAGACGCTGAAGACGCCCTTGATGAGGGTCGGGTGCCAGAGGGCGACGCGCCAGACGAGGGCACCGCCCCAGTCGTGGCCGCCGAGGATGATCTGCTCGCCGGGCCCCGCGACCTGCTCCGAGAGCGCCTTGATGTCGTCCGCCATGCTCTTGAGGGAGAACTCCTCGAGCTTCTCCGGGGACGCGGTCTGGCCATAGCCCAGGCAGTCCGGGGCAACGACCTGGTAGCCCTGGGAGAGGAAGAAGGGGATCTGGTAGCGCCAGCCGAGGGAGATGTCGGGGAAGCCGTGGATGAGCACGACGGTGCCCTTAGGGGTGCCCTCAGGCTTGCCGTAGAGGTAGGAGTAGGTCTTGCCCCTGACCTCGGCCTGCTTCCGCTCGATGCGGGGGTCGTTGGGCGCGATCTTGTCGACAGCCATGTTGAAGGTGAGGTGGTGGTCTGGGTCGAGTGATAGAGACGACATTGGTGAGGCTCTTGACGAGGGCAGCAGGCGTTCGTCCCTTATATACAGGTTGGCTTTGTTACGTCTGCCAAGCAGGAAGCCCTAGTCCAGAAAGCGGCCGTTACTCCGAAAGGTGAATCCCGTGCCGATGCGGGGAATGAGGTGAGAAGCAACGAATCCGAGTCCGATGTTGGGTATGCAGGATGCCGGAGCCAGTTGCGGGATCTACGCCGCCCGAAATCCTCTCTTATAAGAGTTGAGTCGTCAAGCCCGAGTCATTTAAAAATAGGCGTGTTGCACCACGTAAACTGGGTAGAATCACCCAAAACGTACGAGCGGTGTGCAAATGAGCCTCGGCCTAAGGTAGCTCGAACGACACTGCCCAAAAAGCTTCCCGCAAGCTGTAACAGAAGAGCGGGATGGCGGCGCCAGACGAGCAGAGAAAGAGGGGCAAGCTTTCGAGTGACAAGGACGTGACGTGGGTTAAGGGCAAAGTACGTACTGAGGCCAAAAGGTGAGGCCAAACCTTCAGATTAGCCTCACAGGGACGTACCTCTGTCCAGACACTCGCACATCACCACGAGACAAATAGGACAACACACAGTTGGCACTAAAAAAGTTGAATTACCTGGTACTACCTGGCCTGGCTACCTGGGACCGACGCCACGCTCTCTTCCAAGCCAGAACAGGAGCAATCCTGGTTAACAGATGAAGCAAGTGCATTTGCAACCGTGAATATTTTGCGACCCTCGTATGCGTCAGCTCGTCCTCCGCATACCGATTGTCGTCTGGCCGCCTCCGTGCCGGCCTCTCGGAAAAAAGAACCTTCTACCTCCACTGCGAACGATGAACGTCCATGTTGCCCCTGACGGTTGGGACCTTCGTCGTCCCGACCAAGGTATGCTCAAGTCTCCTAAGTCTTTGTTACCAAGCCAACACCGTCCGGTAATTCCTGTGCGTGTCTGTCGTAGATTGGGTTTGTCATGCAGTCGTTCAAGGGTGGCTTAGTTCTGGGGCGGGTCATCGTCGTCGGGCTGGTCAAACAAAAAGTTTGCCGCGAGCTCCTCGTTCTTATCACACGCGAAGTAGGCCTGGATGGCAGCGTCACGGTCGAAGCCGAGACGGCATAACTAGGATCTGTCAGCATCACTACGCGAGTCCAGATGTACAGGTGACGCACCCGCTCAATAGCATCGCGCTCCTCTTCGGTGACGGCGATGGCCTGCGCGCCAGGGGGAAGAGGCACGTCATCGTCAACCTCCTCGCCCAAAAGCTGCAAGAACTGGTCGGGGTTGTTGGCGATCAGCTGCGCGAGCTGGGGGTTGCCGGCACCGAGCTGCTGGAGGATAGGCTCGAGCATCTGAGGCTGTTGCTGGACAACCTGGCGCAGCTGCTGGAACTGAGCGTTGTTTCTCAGGAAGTCGAGGTTGCCGAAGCCACCCTGAGCAGCAGCGGCGGCCGCAGCAGCCGCCGCAGCCTGTTGGTTGCCACCAGCGCCGCGAGCAGCACCACCACCGCTGCCACCACGCTGAGCAGCGAGGTCGAATAGGTTGACGCCCTCCTCACCGCCCGCGGCGGCGGCGGCGGGTTGTTCGGCCGGAGCAGCGGCAGCAGCCTGACGCTGGGCCTGCTCTTGTTGGACGCCTTCGGGGATACCCTGTCGAGGTCAGTTTCTGATGGACAACATGCGAGCTAACCGTTCTTACGTTGAGCAGGTACTCGACGGCGCGGTCGGGGTTGTAAAAGGCGGCACGCATGGCAGCGTCGATCTGACTACGCTCGAAGCCCATGGCCTCCATGTTCGCAATCACCTCCTGGCGCTGAGCACCCATGGCCATCGAGGGGTCATTGCTGGCGGCGTCACCACCACCGGTAGAGCGAGCAGCGGGCGTCGGCGTGGAGGGAGCGGCCGCGGGCGCAGCAGCGTGAGCGGCCGGCGCGGGAGGAGCAGCCGGGGTAGCGGCGACGGGCTGGGCCGGAGTCGCGGGGACGGCGGGAGCAGAAGAGGATTCGGCGGGGGCTGGCTTGGGTGCCTTGGGCTGTATGGTTGTCAGCATTCGCGAAGCCGGGTAGCGTCTCCGGGGTACAGACCTTGTTCACCATGCACACGACGAAGCCCTTCTCCTCAATCTTGTAAGACTCGACGGTGTCGTCGTCCTTCAGGATCTTGCCTAAAACCCAGTCAGCCGGAGCTATCGCAGGGTGCCTGCGCCGCAAGAGCACCTACCAGAGTAGATAAGCTTCTGGTCCTTGGGATCCCATCCCTTCTCGCCGGCAATCTTCTGCTTCACGGCAGAGATCTGTACGTCTCATTAGCTTCGGGTCGGGGGTCGCAAGGCAGCCGCAGACGAGAAATATCGGAGGCGGAAGTGGGGGGAACAACGCACCAGGTCGGTGGGCTCGACATCGAGCGTAAACTTTTGTTGCTTCAAGTCCTACGGAAGAGTAAAACGATTAGCTGGAGCTCGGGGCGGGTCGGCTGAGAGGAGAGAGCGCAATGCGAAGAGGCGTGGGATCGCGGGCTCGGAGGGCGGAGCTGCGTACCTTGAATGTGACCTTCATCTTGACGAGCTTCAAAGCAGCAAAAGGCTGCGATCACGGTGGGGAGGACAGAGGGTGGCGGAAAGATGAGAGGCGGACGATGCCGATGGGGACGGGCAGTTGCAGTTGTAGATGCGCAGGAATGGAACGCGTGGGAAATGCAGAGGCGATCGAGATGGGAAATCCGTCACCCAAGCTGGAAGGGTTTTGTTGTGCGCAGGAGCAGGCAAGGTACTCAGGCACAGAATTAATGGAGATGACGAAGGTAAGTGGTGACCTGAAGTCAGTTTTGGTTGTGTTGCCGCTCAGTGGGGGGAGGGGACTTGGGAAGGGAAGGCGTCCGGCGGTTGGTTGGCTGAGGGAGGTAGCTCCACCGATCCAATGGCGGGCAGGGTACAGTAGGTAGGTGGGTAGCAGGTACCGTGCTGGTGCTGGCTGGCGCTGGCGCTGAAGTGGTGCTAGTCTTTCTTTGCTTTGAGGTCACAACAGCGTCGTTTGGTGCTTTGGGCGGTGCTGAGGTGAGGTTTGGGTGGTTCAGGTTTCCGCTCTCCCCACTGCAGCCGAGCAGTCACAACACACTGTGACGCTGCCAGACATTGGCGGAAGGCAGAAGCATTGCTGACTGGCCGTCTACAAAGTACTTTACCTACCTACCCAGGTGCCTAGCGCTGCCGTGGCTCTGGTGGCTCTGTGGCTCTCATGGTAAACTTTTCCCCATGTGTGTGTGGTATGGGTGGCGGTGCAAGTAGCACTCTGGTGACTTTTAGGCAGGTGAGAGAGGCCAAGCAAAGGTGAGGCGGGGGGAACCTCTTTGCAGGTGAGGGGTGACGGGCCTGTCTGGACAACCAGGGAAGCCGCTGGAACCATTGGATGAAAGACACAGCTGTCGGCTTTTTTTTTTTTTTTTTTTTTTTTCCTCTTCCTGGTCGTCTCCAATGGCTGTCATATGCGCCTCAACTCATTCGTTCCCTCAAGGAACCAAAACCCAGCACCCACGATTCTCAAAACATGTGTAGCCTGCAGACTTTTGTCAGGCAGCCACGGGAAACGGGCGGGGTGCTGGCGACCTGGATATGTCTTCAAATCTGCCGTACAGTGACACCATGCCTGCGGACCCGCGCAGAGTCTGGAGCTTTGCTGACCGCCGTCGATGCGCCTTCTGTCAAATATCATGATGCAAACCTATCTCTGATTTTCTTACATGCCTCCACCCTCTGTGATCCAGATACCTACCTCGGCAAGTAAGCTGCTTGTAGGAGCGCCTTGACTGCTGGGACCAGACTACCTTAGGCAGTAAGTGTTTGCTGAGGTAAGAAAATACCCGTCCGTGGCCGTGCCCTTTCCCACCCGCCGGACCGAACGGTACACCCGTCCCGACTAGCGCATCGGGATCATCTATGTTCCGAGATCTGGAGAACCCCGGAAGCCTCCGAGGCGCCCGTCCAAGTCCGCCTCTGCGCCGACGCCAACACCTATGCTCAGCCTATCCCTTGTTAGGTAGTGTGTTTGGTTGTGGAGGACAACGACTTCACTCTGCACCCATCAACAGAAGATTCATTTGACTCGTTTGATTGTTGTAGCTACTGTAGCTATTCTACCTGCTCGACGGTGTTGGCTTCACGTCCGCCAGACTGACTTCCTCTCTCCCTTTTTTCCTCCATACCTACCTCCCGGGACAACGCCACGCTGGAACAAATAAAAGATAAATAAAGCCCTCAAGTATGGTATCACCGCCCGAGTTTCTGTGTGTGTGTGTGTGTGTGTTGTACTCCGTTTCGTAAGTCACCGAAGGACGTACTACTAGGAATTAGACATTCATGAAGACCACGCCGGGTCAGGGTATTTCCCTTTTTTGTTTTCTTTTCCCTCCTCATATTCCTGTGGGGAGGGGGCGTGTTGTTGCTGGACCGCTGCCCCTCCCCTCCGTCATCATCATCATGATTGTTCCTCCTTGACGTCCCCGTCTTCGATCCGGAGCTTGCGGCTGTGGTACCCGTTCAGGCTCGTCCGAGCACCGGCGGTGAGTATCCACTCCGGGATCGGTGGAGTCATCTGTCTCTCGTTGGGATCATCGAGTTCTTCCTTCTCCTGCGGCGACTCGAGCTCCTCCTTCTCCTCCTTAACCGGGTGCCCGTTGGGGAAGAAGTTGTCGATGCTGCTCGTGCGACTGAGCGGGCTGGGCCCGGAGGGCAGACTGCCGCTTCTCATCCGGCGCACGCTGTGCCTGTCCGAGATGACACGGCCTGCGTCGGGCGCAGCTACCACCATGGTGCCGGGCGTCACCATCGGCGGGGGGTCTGGCGAGTCAGACCGGAAAAGAGGGTGGATGTGAGATTCACTGGCGGAGCCCTGCATCGTGAACGCGGGCTCCGGTCGTTGAAGCTCGCCGTCACTCGCGCAGTTTTGCATGGTGAAGGTGGTGTTGGGGCGGCGGAGATCGGCGACGGGGCTGTAGCTGCGACTCCGGCGGCGTGCGCGAGGAGGCTCCAGATCGAGCGGCGTCCCGGGGCTGGGGCTGCGGCTTGTGGTAGGGCTGGCGGGGATCGTCTCCAAGAACCGGCCGGGGGGAGACGATGTGCCGAGAACGGTCATGCGGCTCTGCATGTCAACCGAGGAGGTGTCCCAGGAGTCAAAGGACGAGTCCTCGTTGACGCTGCTCGACCGCGAGCGGTAGTGGTTCGAGTCGATTGACTCGGCCCTGCGCTTCTCCCGCAACGGCAGCAGGCGCGTCCTGGAAGAGATGGGGCGGACGACGTTGGACAGGGAAGAGCGGATGGAGCTCAGGGTCTCAGTCGCCGAGCGGCCGCTGCTCGACTGGGGAGGGGTCTGAGAACCCATTGAGGTGGAACGACTCCGGCTCTCGTACGTGGGCGAGGTGCGGGTGTAAGGAATCGACTTGACCGACTTGGTGTGGAAGTGAGGCGACCTCCTTGTCGACTCCTCGTCGGTGTTGTAAGAGTCTGCCTCCTCACGAGCAGACAGACGTGCCAAGACAAAGTGAATGACAATGAAGATGAGCTGACACGCAAAGCAAAGACCAAGCGCAACGGACGAGGCGATGAGGAAGCTCGTTTGCTTCGCACCGAGAATCGAATCCGACAAGCCCCTCGTCGCGTTGCCGAGGCAGATCATGGTGGCGACCGACGCCGCGGTTGCTAGAGTGCATGTCAGGACGCTGACGCCGAACATTGCGCTGATGAGGCGCTTCGAGGAGTTCCGGAACTTGGGAATCAAGTTTGCTGACAACATCCATCCCAAGACCGCCAAAAGAATGCTTTCCAAAACCGAAGACAGGACGGACGACGTCCTTACGGGGGTGACCTGGGTGATGTGTGCGGCGAGCACGACGTGGATGACGACGATCGTGATGGTAGCGATGAGCGCAAGTGCGCCGGCCACGATTGGGAGCGCTCGCGGTAAACCCATGGTGTAAACTGGGGCTGTCAAAGCCGAGAACTAAACGTATTCGAACCGGTGTAGTTGCTGTGCTGTATATCCTCCTCTTTCCAGATGAGGAAGACGGGCTGACAAGGGTTGCTTCAAGTGAGCAAACGCCGAACGGGATGCGTAGTGGTGGTCTGCCGGAGACCGGAGTGGGCCAGAATCTGTTTGCTCTTCAACGCCGTATATCCAAACGCTGAGAGGACCTGTCCGAGCCGTGATTGTTGGTGATATCACAGACCAGCCGGCAGGTTGGTGAGTGCCTGGCAAAGGGCAAGCGATGCCGACTACCTTATACGATGAGGACTGGGCCCCAGAGAGGCGAGACGGCCACGGGATGTCAACTGTTGTAAGCGACTAGTTGACGAAAGGGTCCCGGGTAGTAGACTGTGGGAGAACGAGATAAATGGGGGACGCGGTTGACCAGCCGTGTACATGGGCACTGGTGGTTTATTCGATCTGTAAGAGAGCTCCGTTACAGAAACTCTCTCGACAGGTTGAATGGGTAAAACTGGGGTCGTGGTTGTGACGAATGAGATGCCAGGCAATGAGCAGCGAGATTCTTGTATGGAACTGCAAGGTTGAGGCGAGATAGAGATGGCTTGAGTCTAGGGCCGCGAGAGTAGGTCGTTGGCGAGCCAGGTTGTCGATGATGGGATTGGGTGAAGTGAACAGAGCCCAGGTGAGGTTTAACGAGAGAATAGTAGTTGGTGAAAAACGAACGGAATGGGGGGTTGTGGGAAGAGGCGTAGGTGTAAGTAGAGGGGACGAAGAACGAAACCTGGGAACCAAACGCATAAAGTATGGCAGACGGTCGTGGACGCGTTTTTGTGTGTGCGGTGCCTGGGTTGGGGGTAGATGGCATTCCCTGTCGAAGTGGAGGAGGAGCTGGGACTAGAAGGTCCAGCGTCGCGTGGGCAAACGGCAGACCGAGCGAGTTTATTCGTAGCGCAGGTACTCTGTGGTCTGTACCTTACGCTCACGCCTCGGCCGGCCGGTGGGCTGGAGTCTTGTCTTGCAGGACCCAACCCGACCCAGGCTTCTTCCAAGGGGCAGTGAGAGACGAGTGGGTGAAAGGACGACAATGACAAGGGTGGAGGGGGAGTGATGCCGTGGTGGAGTGCTCGGAACGAAACACTGGCAGCTACCCTTGTCCGTGCTGGGGGGTGTGTGCTCCTGGGACAGACTCCGGCTTTTGGTGTGAAGGTCTGAGATTTTTGGGATTTTTTCTTTCCTTCGAATCTACTGCGACCGGGGGGGGAAGTGACTTTGGGGCCAGGGACTGGGAGTCCGCGGCGGCAGGGGACTGAGGCCCGGTGACGAGATGATTCGGGATCTGTGATGTGCTGGTGCTGCTGCTAATCCTGCTGACGCTCTGCCGTGCCTGGGTCGGCGTGCATGCCATGTACCGCAGCTGCAGATATTGTATTGCGGGAGACCGCCAGACGTTAAAGAAGAAGGATCAAGAGGGCAAAATGCAGGGCTCTGTCGTCCCATCCAGTGACGATGCTCCCGCTGCCGCTGGTGATATGCTTCTGACAATGCACACGCAGAGCCAGTCAGAGAATTGGACGATGACCGGACGATGCGACGGCTATGTGCTCTCTGACCTCGACCTCTCGTCCTTCCTTGTGCTTGTGAGACCCGGCAGTGGGCAGCACAATGCGAGAGGGAAAAGAAGCTGCCGTGTACCTGTGGCAATCTAACTCGACTTTCCAATTGAACACGTTGATTCGACTGCACCCTCGACGTTGCGCATGATCCGGCCACTTCCTCGTGGCTTCTGAGTCGAAGTTTGTGTGTCGTCTGTCTCTCAGCAGTCAGCACACACGCTGGCGGCGCAATGGCAATGGCATGGCGCTGCGGTGTTAGCATGACACGGCGACGAGACGGCGAGAGCTGACAGCTGGGCTGCCCTTGGTGATTGGCCACGGCTTCCAGATTAGATGAGGACAGCCACAAGCGCCATATAAACCACTGAGAAAAAAGAAGCCCAGAGACGCATGGCGTGAGAGAAGGGAGAGAGAGGGGGATCATCCATCATCCCGCCATCGGTGTCATCGGGAAAAGCAACGATGGGGCAAAGCGGGCATCGCCAGCCACAATAGGATGCGGAAAAAGAAAACCTGCAGACAATAGGCAAACAGACTACGGCAAACGCTGCGGCAATAGCAGGCAGCCGGGCGAGAGAGAGATGATAGACTAAACCAACACCAACAAGACTTGATTGATGATTGCGCTGTTTTTTTGCTGGTTGCGCTCCGCTATAGTCATCTCTCATCTCTCTCTCATATAGGCTGTTGGCCGCAATAAGACCAAAGTTGGAAGTGTGAGCGCTCCTGCGTGGTTATCCCTGGTCTGGTTTGTTGATTAGCACGGACGTTATATTCCTTTGCTTCAGTTCCGATGGCATCGACCACCACAATGTTTCCCGCCCTCATGACGCGCGACTGGGTGCATCCAGGAAGAGGCAGGTGACGTTTCCACGCCGAGCGGCCCCTTCGCCATGGCATCTCTCCTGCTCGGCGGTGCGGAGAGGCGAGATGACGGGCGTCGAGCAGGAAGAGCGCACCCCCGAGAATCCGTCGATTGGAAGGAAAAAAGTGAGGCTCTGGGCCGTTCTAGCTCTGTTTACATCGTGTCGCTTTTGGCATGGTTGCAGCGACGTGTCGAGGGAGGCCACTAGCACAGCGAGTTGGCGCAGGGTAAGGCTGGACTTGTTCTTGATTTGGCAGAGGGCCTTCGTTGCATCCCATGTGAGGGGTGTGCAGGCACAATCTCCGGTCCTGCCCTCTTTGATGTTGTTCCAAACGTCCAATTGTGAGTGCGCCCTTGCGTCCATGAATCAGACGGGCGATCCGTCAATTGTCCGTCAAGCCGTCCTGGCGTCGCAGCGAGGGACGCGGTGCTGCTGTGCCTCTTTTTCCCTCCTCTCCGGGCTCAGCTCAGTCATTTTACCCCAAAGAGAGGACGGTGATCGACGGGGCTAGCGATGAGATGCGTGGCGTCGTCCCTCTTGCATGTTGTTGTTTTTGGGTGAGACAGGACGCGGATCCTTGTCTGTTGGTCGCGAACAGAGGGAGACAGGAAACCGTCCAAGACCGGCTGATACCATCTTCCAGTCGGAGAAGCTGCCACTGCCAGTCCACGATGGCCTCAAGACAGAGGGGCAAGTTTTCGGCAAGACATTTTGGCAACACGACTGCTGAATCGCCCGCGGTAAACAAGCGACGGTGGTTATCGGCGGGAACTTCGTGTCCTCCACTCGTTTCCATGGCAATTAAGCCGGCTGAATAAAAAGAGCGGAGGCGCCAGTGAGAGAAAAGCCAGTGCTTCTTGTTTCGAGAGGGGGTGTTCCCTCCTCCCGCCTCCGTGCCCGGCGAGCCCTTCTCCACGAGGCGGCAGCGGTTCGTCCAGTGGAGAGCGAGGTGCGTCTGGCGTTACGGCGTACCTGAGATGCCTTAGCCTCTTGCTCCGTACCGCCGTAGGTACCTGACAGTGCCTGAGCAGTGAGGAGACTGAAGGTCTGCCGCTGGAGAGGACGGGGACAGGCCGTTGGCGTTGGGAAGGTTGAGAGGTTGGTGGCATGGGTGGACCATGTTCTGCAGAGGGGAAGCTTAGGTTGATGGTCCTAATGCTGGCCAGTGGTTGTGCATGACAGAGGGTTTTTTGTGCCGCTTCCCCGGGTACGCTCGGGACGTCGAGTGCATAAGGTTGAAGCGGACGGTCAGATAAACATTGGATAAACTACTGCATAGTAAACAGTAGCTGCTCTTAGCTGAGCCGAGCTGTGCAGAACGGGCCAGCAGATGTGCAAAGCTCCGGTGATATCGACGTCGGTATCGATATTCGTCAATTCTCAAGTGGCTTCTTTGATCTCAGGCCTCCCTCATTATGCCCCCCTGCCCGGCTGGCTTTTGGCTATTGCCAACTCTGGCAGCAGCTGAGTGCGATCCGGATCCGTGGACGCCGAACTGGGCCGAAGACTGACTCGGCCCCCAACACACAAGAGTCTGGAATTGCGCAGGTGCGTGCTGGTGTGTGTGCATGGGAGGAGGAGAGATTTCCCGGGGGTCCTGTCTCTGGACCTGACATGATGGATGCAACTGTGTAACCTCCCTTGGGAAAGAAGAAGGGGCAGAAAAACCAGCCTTGGAAAAAAAATTTCTGGTAGGACGAAAGGAGTCAAAGATAAGACGGAGAGCCCGACCTATTCAATCATTGCTGAAAATGACATGAATCTCGCTGGATGAAGATGTGCGACTGGCAGTCAATTCTGAGAAGGCGCACTGGTCAGCAGGTGGAAGGTACCGAGCTGCCAAAAGTAAGCGCAAAAGTACAATTGATTACCTCCAAGGTGATGTCCGGCCTTGAGGTGAGGGAGGAAGGTACAAAGTACAAAGTACCTACCTACACTGTGGCAGTTTGTAAGCCGGCACCTTAAAAAAAAGCATGAGGTGCTGATTATTACCGAAGGACCCAGGTCGCTGGTTGGCCGTGGAGAGTGCAATAAAACGCAAATGCAAATGTAAAATGTCTCATACGCACTTTGCCGTTCTATTCTCGGGATTGCCCTGCGACTGCATTTGACTGCCTGCCTGCCTTGCTGCATGCTGGGGGCAGAGAGGCGGAGGGGGGAGACGGAGATGCAGACGGGACGGACGCGGGATGACGCCAGAGCACTATCAGAACGAATCCATTCCAGCCAGCCCTGATTGAGCCCGGGGATTGAGTGCTGCGCAGGCCAACATTGTGCCTACCTATTGTCCCTTTGTCCCTCCCGCCCCCGTATCCGCACCGCCTCACCTCATTGAGCCATGCCATGCCATGCACCAACCTCTCCTGTGTTGCCCGGTAAGTTTTTGCAACCGTAGGCAGGTGTCATGTATTGGACTTGAGCCCCCAATGCCACAGCGGGAGGAAAATAGGAGAGGACAGGCTGCGAATGGGTCGGGAAGAGGGGGCCAGGAAGCTCTGATGAAAGG